TTGTTTGTCCTTATTGTTTCCAGTGTCTAGGTTGATGTTGGGTAATCTGGCCACCTTCCTTCGTTTGAGACATTTTAGCAGTTTTGATACAACTGAGTAGCTTGTGAGGTCATTTCAGAGGTCAGTTATGAATCAAGCATATAGCTGTGTGTCTGGAATTACATGTAGTCTAGTCCTGGTAAGGATGACAGACTTCCTTCCCTAAATTACATCAGTGAACCAGATTGATTCTCATGATAACTATTTCATGGACATCATTAGACTTTTAATTTCAGATTTTTTTTATTGCATTTCAAATTGCACCATCTGCCATGGTGGAATCCTTGCAGTGCAGGGTTGACTTTGTAGGCTAACTCAAATCAGTTCACCTTTCTCCAGATATCATATGCTTTTAATTCCAAGGCAACATTCCTCATTACAGAATGGCTTTCAATTTAAATAAAATTTCTATTTTGCAGATGCTAACTTCCTTTTTGTAGAAGATGGCTGGTGAAAACATTTGCTGTACAGATCACTACTTTTGGAAATAATGTAGGTAAAACACAATATTAAGTGTGCAAAGAATGGAACTTAATTGGCCTTCCTATCTGTAGACCTTGAATGTGGAATCTCTCCAAATTCTTAAGCCTTGATCACATTTGATGATGAAAGATCATTGCAAACTTTATTGTGCCTGAGCTTTGCTTTCTTCAAAAAATTGATCAAACTGATTCTTGTCAGATTCTTTGATTAAAACAGAACCAAAGGAACAGATGTTGCTAAGCAACAGAAAGACAGACAGACAGACAGACAAAGGTCTAGTGTATTTTCTAATACACCATAAAAATTCAAGGCCATGTCACAAAATAAGATTTTCAGTACCAATTAGAAACAGTTTTTTATTGTGAATTGTGATAACATTTTCCTAATCTATTTTAATGCAATTTCTTAATTACTCAGTTGACATCTCAACATTCCCAACTTCATGTTGGTTTCACACATTCCAGGAAAACAGTAGCAGTTATGCTGCTGGACTAATAATCTAGAGCCCTAGAGAAATGATCTAGAGACTTGCACCAAAGTCCCATTTAGCAGCTAGGAAAATTAATGAAATAAATTTGGAATACAAAGCCATGAAATCACAGGGCTGCAACAAATACTCATCTGGTTAACTAAGGTCAAGTAGGAAAAAAAATCTGCCATCCTTATCTATTTGATTCTAGACTCACAAAAATGTAATTGACTCTTAAATGCCTTCTGAAATAGTCCAGAGAGTCACTCAGATGCACCAAACCAAATATAAGAATAAAAGTGGAAATGCACCTTGCATCAAACTGAGCACTAAATATAACAAAGGCACACCCAGTCAGTTCTATAGTTTTGCGCATTAGCACTTTGATGTACGCAGTCAGGAGAGAGTGCTCCTAAGAGTTCTCCATATTACCTCATTCCCAAAAAGTCTCATGGCATTAGGTCTAACATGGATAAGGAAACTGCTTGCTGGCAATTACCCTCTACTGCCTTCCTTTAGAGACATATTGATTCATCAGCTACATTGAACACTAACTGAAATAGATACTGATGGTATTAAGGCACAGAATGTACTCTGAGTGAAGGAATTTTTATGTCTATCATGCAGAATGACTCAGAAGTACCACCACTGATCATGCTCTCACAAACATAACAGCCTGACACCAAGCAGTAAGAGAATACAAGGAAAAGACCTCCCTCTGTCATTTTCTCAATCTCAATTACCCATCCATGTCAGTATTGGGACATCAGAGAAGGTCTTGTGAAGATAAGGTCCTGTTCTTCACACAGAGGACAACTACCATAATTTTACATGCACAGCATGCTAAATAAGATAGATTCACTACAGATTTAGCAGCTCAAAACTGGGCATCCACAAGGCTAAAGCAGTAGAATTGTATTCAAAGACAATCTGTAACATCGTGTCCTGGCATATCACTGACTGTACCATCGCCATCAAGTCACTGTTACAACCATGGCTTGATAAGGGCAGGATCATATGTCTGGAGCAGCACCAGGCATACCTACAAATGGAGGAGCCAGCTACAACACAGAACCATAGGAATGCCAAACAGTGGGACCAGCCTCCTAGGGAGGAAAAAAATCCTACAATTAAAAGGAGCTGATCTGCAGCCCTGCCATAACCAATCCTGAATTGTGATGGACAACTAAAAAACTATCCAGGGGATAAGGTCCCACGAATAGCTTCAGTCTCATTAAGGGCTTCTGAGGAGAACTTTGACTAGGTGTGTCTTTGCGCATTTGGGTGACCAGCTTTACCCTGGGTGGCTCATCTGGTTCTATTCTTGTTATATATTCTAATAGTGCTTACATAGTATTAAGTAACTTTCTGTACCATTTCAGAGGGCAGTTGAAAGTTAACGAACTTTCTGTGCATCAGAAGTTACATCCAGACCAGACCAAGGAAGGAGAGTACATTTCTTGTCTCAAATGACCTCTTTTAATCAAACAGGTTTGGACAAAAGTCCTGTGGTTTACTGGATTTTTATTCCAGATTTATCTCGTTTACTGATGTCAGAGTCCAGTGCATGAGTATAAAATGACAAAGCTGAAGAACTTGGTACTTCTGGCTGAGGATCGTTTTCAATGGATCATTAATTTCAGCCTCCTCCGAGATTCCCACCATCACTGATACCTCATCAGCCAATTGGATTCAGTTCACATGACACCAAAAACAGATGATGCATACACAGACCACAGCTAGGGCTATGGGCTCTGACAACAGTTTGGCCACAGTACTGAAGCTAACTGCATCCTTAGCCAAGCTGTTCCAAATACAGCTATAATACTAGCATCCATCCAGCAGTGCATTAACTTGACTAAGTACATTTTGGCAACAAAAGTTAGGACAAATCCAATCTGACCAATTGCTGCTCCATCAGCCTAATCTCAGTCATTAGCAATGTGATGGAAGGTGTTGACGTTGGTGCTACGAATTATATTCACTCAACAATAACTTGCTCATAATGTCAAATTCATATTCCAGAAGAACCACTTATCTACAGACTTCATTACAGCCTTTATCCAAAATTGGCCAAAGAGCTGAATATCAGAGATGAGGTGATAATGACTGTCTCTGACTCCCAAGAAGCTTTTGATTAAGGTACATCAAGAAGCTCTAGGAAAACTAGAATAAACAGAATCAGGGGAAAAGACTTCACTATTTGGAGGGATAACTTACAAAAGAGAGGATGGCTGTATCTGTTGGAGGCCAATCACCTCAGTCCCAGGATATTGCTGCACGAGTACCTCGGCCATTCACCATCCTGATTGGAACTATATCACCATTTCTTCACTGTTTCTGGTCAAAAACTTGGAACTCCTTGCTTTTGGCACTGTGAGCTATAAGCACTACCTGGACTAGAGTGGTTCAAGTTGGCAGCTCGCCACTACCTTTTCAAGGGTAATTAGGGATAAATAAAAAAATTCTGGCCTTACTTACAACCCTTATACAAATTTTTAAAAAAGGAAAGTGTATGCCCACTATGGCCTATTGTATAAATAGGAATATCTAGGTGTAGACTACTACAGTAAAAAGGTAAATGCATTTCTTGAGAAAATGACCAAGGTGAGACCATTAAATATTTTAAACAGCATTGTGATTATATTACTTTATTAGATTTTTAAGTTAAGCGGACAAAGCAATTGATATTTTGATCCTACTACTTAAATACACAGAGAATGTCTCAGAGCACTGAACAAGTGGTCAACAGGGAAAGAAAGAAAACTAATTTGGAAAGCTCAAAGCATGGTCAGAAGAAAGAGCCCTCAGGAAATGCCACATTTCATGTTTTGTACATTAGAGGAATTTCAGCTGTTTTACGTTCAGGTAATGTTGTTGAATTCAATTCACGAGGTTCAAATCACAACTACATTCAGACAATAGAATCTGTTTTGAATGGTGACTCCCCCATCTCACATCAGTTTGAAACAAGGAGTTTAATTTGATTAAGATCAGTTGCAGATAGTTTCCAAGCAAAATAACACTTAAGAAGTGAGTAGTTGATTTGTTTTGCAGATCAGCTAGTTAACTCTCTGCAGTGGGGAGCTGTGGTGGGATGGCAAACAAATTTTTGCCCTCGTGATTAGTTAAGGCTAGTTGGAAAGTCAGTCCATCTAAAGTAAAGTGGAATGAAAGTCAGGGGAGGGGAAATTTTAAGGTCAGGCACAAAACAGCTAATAACTAAGAAAACCGGGAGGAGTAAGATGGAGGAAGAATTTCAAGTTCAAGGCCCTAAGAAACAATATCAAACTTTTGGATGCAAGGGAACAAAGAGGTTTGGCAAGAATAGGATGAATGTGATGGCAGCATTATTTCCTTGGTGAAGATGCAGTACATTGTATTCTCGATAAGCTGTAGTTTAGGAATAACTCAAAGAGCTGTGGATACTAGAAATCTGAAACAAAGAAAGAGAAAAATTGCTGGGGAAACTCAGCAGGTCTGGGGGCATCTGTGGAGTTGGACTGTGGCACTGTTTTCTCTGCACAGATGCTGTCAGACCTGCTGAGCTTCTTCAGCAATTTCTGTTTTCTCTGTAATTTAGGAAGACTGGAAGCAGAAAAGCCATCAAAGGGAGCAATTCAGTGGTCTAGCTCTGAGGTAATATGTGAAATAATAATGGATTAGATAAATGAAAGATGCTAGTTTGGGGCTAGCAGGATATCAAAGAGAAAAAATGTCCAGAAAAATAAATTCTGGCATTGTTAATATCTAGGAAGTGAAGAATGACACATGTAAGCTGTTAGGTCGATCAGCACAGTATTCAGGAATTCCATTCACTCGTTGCTTATTGAACAACAGCTCTTTCTAGATTCATATTACTCCGTCAATAAAGCTCACAATTGTCAATTGAATTATCTGGCATATTATATGCATAAACAATTTGCATCCAAATAGCATAACAAAATCAATAGACAGAGACACCTACAAACAGATTCTTTGTTATTTGTGACATATTAAGGTTACATACCTTTGCTTTATTTATTGAGCAGTGGAGAGCATTGTTTTCTTGGTCGTACAGCAAACTGAAATCTAATGTACCCAGGGTGGCTGGAAAAGGAAAGGAGATGGCTTTACCATCTACACAAACAGGCTGAATAAAAACAAACATAATTTAGCAACCACCCATTAAGTGACTATCTCATGGTGAAAGAAATACATAACATGTAATTCTAACAGATAAAACAATACACAGTCGAATAGAAGGGGAAACCCAGTTACCATTAAGCAATTCCATTCCACTCGTCATGTAGCTCATGTCCAGTTTCTGTAAATTGTATGTGGCATTTTAATACATTAAAAAAAACTTGTATTTTCTCTTCAGTTATAGACTGCCTCATTTCTAATCTGAGTACTTGTTTTGGATAAATGGTTTGCACTAAAGGAACTGTGCCGATATAATGAAAACCAGCATAATGCTATCTACTATTGCATTACTTTTACTAAAGCATAGATCAAAGGTGGTGGTTTAAACGTAAAAAGGGGCAGCAAGGACAAATCCAGAACTAGAAATGAATAGCTGAAAGAATGTGAACAAAATCACACTATAATTCTGGTGAGTCTGGTGGAAAACCCAAAAATAGGCAGAAGTGTTGTTGAATAAAGAGACCTCGGGGTGCAGGTGCATAGCTCCTTGAAAGTGGAGTCACATGTAGACAGCATGGTGAAGGCGTCATTTGGCATACTTGCCTTCATTGATCAGTGCTTTGAGTGTAGGAGTTGAGACATCATCAAGAGGGACAAGACATCGGTGAGGCCAATTCTAGAATTGCGTTCAATTCTGGTCTCCCTGCTACTGAAAAGATGTTGTTAAACTTGAAAAGGTTCAGAAAAGACTAACAAGGATGTTGCCAGGGTTGGAGGGTTTGAGCTACAGGGAGAGGCTGAATAGGCTGGGGCTATTTTCCCTGGAGTTGAGGGGTGACCTTATAGAGGTTTATAAAATCGTGAGGAGCCTGGATAGGGTGAATAGCAGAAGTCTTTTTCCCAGGATTGGAGAGTCCAAAACTTGAGGATTTAGGTTTAAGGTAAGAGGGGAAAGGTTTAGAAGGGACCTGAGGGGCAACTTTTTCATGCAGAGGGTAGTGCGTGTATGGAATGAACTGCCAGTGGAAGTGCTCGAGGCTGGTACAATTACACATTTAAAAGGCATCTGGACAGGCACATGATTAGGAATGGTTTAGAGGGATATGGGCCAAATGCTGGCAAATGGGAATAGATTTATTTGGGATATCTGGTCAGCATGGACAAGTTGGACTGAAGGGTCTGTTTCCGTGTTATATAACTTTATGCTGATATTTATTAATTCTGTGTGACTTCTGTTTGCCTTGTGTAAGTAGAACACCATTTGCATCTTATCTGGGCAAAAAGACAGAGGATGTTGTGGGGGGGCGGTGGTGGTGGGGGTGGAGAGGGGTTGGTTTGGTTGATCTAAGCCAAAGTTGCCCAGGATAGGAGAGATGAAGTCTATTGGCTTCCAGAAGGGTGACACAGTATGTTGAGGTTGGTTGGCTCGCCAAGCTGGTTTGTTGTCTTGCAGACGTTTCATTACCATGCTTGGTAACATCCTCAGTGCAGCCTCCGATGAAGCGTTGGTGTGTTTTCCTGCCTGGTTTTTAAACTCTGAGGTCCATTGAGATGGATTGCCTCACTTCCGGTTTTCCTTTGTAGTGGAATGTATATGGGGTCGATTTCAATGTGTTTATTAATAGCATACCTCAACACCCACAACCTGAGCTACAGATCTACTCCAAAACCTTAGGGTGACAGTATGCTCTACAAGAAGAGAAATGGTATGGCAGAGTGGGTGGAAAATCAGGAAGGCCGTGAAAAGAGGTGTGGAGGATGTCTAAGGCACACAGAAGCCATAATTCCTAGACCCATATATCTGCACTCATGTAAAGGCTGTCAAGTCACCTCAGCAAATCTGACAGGACTAACATTGGCGGGATCACAGCCCGTTATTCAGGTTGATTGCACTTGTGATAAATGCACAAAAAGATCTCTCACTGCTGTGTTATTTGATCTCAGCAATGGAACAGGTAATGAAAATATAATTGGCCTTAGCTTCCTTACAGTAAACAAGGATAGATGATTATATTACCATCCAGTGTCACTGCATGAGAAAGTAAATGTATGTGGACAAAATGAGACTTTGTTATGATGTCCTTATGTCCAAATAGTCTGCTGATAAGGATTGTGGAGACTTACACTTAAAAAAGCTTGGCATGTGAGCTATGTGCACGAAGTTATGCTAGTAATAATTCAATGCCTTCAGGAGAAGAGGAAGTAAAATATGACATATGATACAAAATAACAGTGACATTTTAATAACATTCGAATTTCAAACTACACAAAACACACTTTTAATTTTTTTTGCCCAGAAAATGAACACGAGCTGCTTTATTGTCTTGTCATGGTCACTTGTATGCATGGAAAAATAAAATGCCCCAACAATGTGATGCCACTGTCTATGTCCCGTTACTGGGCCTTAGTGAGCTGGCAGTCAGAACCTGCAGTTGAATAAGAACACAATTTTTATTTTTTAAACGCTAGATTCAATGGTAAAATATTTAACTTTGATAACTGAACGATTGTACAAAGTTTCTGAAAGAAATAAAATTTTGTGTATTGCAAGTTCTGACACATCTGATTTTCTAAGCATTGAATGGAACCATACAACAGCAACCTCCCACTGCACCGATGATGCACTTCCTCTCACTAGCTAACGTTGTATTTTAAATTAATTGAATTGGGAGAGTTCCTAAGAAAAGGGGGATAATGGTCCAATGTTCTGTCATATCGGGTTATGACACATGAAACTTCCAACTCGTCAAACAAAATTGATTTTTTAACTCAGGTTCCTGACGTGAAAAGACATGTTCTAACACAGTTTGTCACCAAATCCCAATTAATATGTCAGGAGTTTAATTCTGATTCTTGTTGGGAGAAAGGGACACATACCTGAACATGAAAACTGGTAAAGTTTGCTGAAAGAGCAGGTGATTGGGATAAATTGGACAGTTCTTCAGAGAGTTGGCATAGACACAATGAGCTGAATGGCTTTCTTCTGTGCCACATGATTCCAAGCATATAATCCTCATCAGTCTAACTATAATGAATGCAAAGTAATTTAATGGAAAGTAACTGAGCTATGGCAACAGAAAGAAGGAAGCACTTGTGTTATACATAGACACGCACACATCTTATAACACAGAAGGTGATGCTTAGTCTAACTAGTTTTATCCTCGATGCAAGCAAATATGTATTGAACCTGTTTCCATAAGCCTTGCCATCTCTTACTTCAGGCATCTATCCAATATAGTCTTAAACTTTGACACTTTGTTGCCTCAATCACCAACACCAGGCATGAATTCCATCGCCTCGTAATTGTGTGTTAAGGATTTTTACCTGTTCTCTGTTCTAAAGCATCTATGTTTAATCTTAGGTCTATTGTCCCTAATTCCAGGTCCCTCTGTGGTATTTTTCCAGATAATCATTACTGGTAGCTTCTGGTATCTGCCGTGTTAACAGGTAATCTTTGGTAATGGGCAATCTTTGAGGTAGCTTGCTGTCACCAATTCTCCTTTGTCTTAGGTCTACCTCATGATTAGTGGTAGAGGATACATACCATACAGTATCACTAGAAGAGGTACTGTTCTTAGATAACAACAAGATATATTACATGATAGCCAATCAGTACTACATTTGGTCAAATAATTAAAACAAAGAACTGCAAATGCCAGTGATCTGAAACAACAACGGAAAGTGCTGCAGTTTCTCCAGCATTTTGTTTTTGTTTATATTTCATAGACAAATAGAATCCCTACAATGTGGAAGCAGCCATTCAGTCCATCGAGTCTACACTGACCCCCTGGGTCATCATGCCGCCCTAGACATAATGACAAGAACTTTCAGGAGCTGGTATAGATGCATGTGCTCCCTCTGAAACCTGTTTCAACTGAGCCGGAAACGTCTTTTTTTTAAAAATGTGAACATGTCTATGAATTTTGCACTGATTAAAAAGGGTCCCTTTTTCCATATTGTCCCTTGTATTGTTTATCATGTCTCTATTTCTTCAGATTAGGAGCATTCTGGTGAATTTACACTCACTCTCATGCTAAAGTCCTGCACAATAATCTTTAATTGCCTTAAGGGTGGGTATGCGAGGAATGTGTCCGGGAATGAATGGATCTAATGTAATCAATCACTGCTTACTTTTGATAAAAATAGTGAGACACACACTGAGTGACATATTCCTTTCAATGGAAATTTCCTAAATATAATAGTAATGAAACTTCCAAAGCCACCATCCACTAGCATGGATATATTATAGGCAAGTTAAACTAACTCATGCTCTATGGAAATAAAATCAATTTTAAAAGAATATCATTACACAGGGACATGCATGCGCAACAGACAAAAAACTTTTCATCAATTCATCAACATGCATGTCACTTTTGTTGCTGCCAATAAATCAGAAAATAAGGTTGTAGGCAGCAAATGAAATCCCTCCTTTTTTTTGAATGCTGTGCGAGTGCACCAATTCTTAAATGGAATTTATAGATGCTTACATTCTTCTGCAAAGAAAATAAATTTTATATTAAAAATAGTGCACTCTGTTTCATTTTAGAATGCCTGCAACTGTTAAAAAGCATTTTGCTAAGATTGTAACACAAGTGTTAAAATTATAACAGTACACCACACGTATCAATAGATCAAAATGCTCAGCTGTGATTAAAGTTAAATTAAAGATGGAGTTTTTTGAACATATACCCGAACTATATATCAGTGCTACACTGCTCGTGTCTGTGTATAATTTTACTTGGACAACTTTATTAAGTATAGCTTTATTATTTTCATCCTTACTAGGTTGTAGCAAATATGGCTGTCATCCTGCATTTGGCTTCCATGGGGTATTCAACAGCAAAAAATAGTTGGTGAGCAGTCATTGTTGGTGATATAGTATTGAGAACGCAGCTGCCTTCCAAGCAATTGACCTGTGTTTGATTCCCAGCCGTCACACATTGAAAGTTTTATATTGTACATCA